TAAATATACGAACTAAGATAAAACAAAACAAAGGAAATAAAATGAACTCTTAATGGAGCAGTTGACAGGGTAACCGTCAATTACTATGAAATCAACGGTCATTCGAATCCAAACTCGATGAAATTGACACGATAAGAAATGGGATACTTTTTAACTTTTTTTATTCGAGTGTCACTGATGAGTCTTTTGTAGACGAAACGCGCGTCTGTCGCAAATACAAAATTTCAATCCTGTTATCTATAATGAGTTTATAATATACAACCAGTACCTTTACAGATAAAGCGGATTTTTTTTTATTATATGATTTAAGACTACGGAAACATACAACCCGTGAGTTGAGAAACTGATGTGTCGTTTCAGTCAACCAAAAATATAAAACAAAGACCATACGACCATGGAATAACTGAAAACGTGTGTATTTGGTAGAGAGGACATCAAACATATATCTGGACATGAAGTTAGACAGGGTATTACCTGTATGTTCATAAGGCTTTAAGATGAATTATTCTGTTGCTTATAAATTGAAATATTAGACCAAAAAGATTACACATTTAATACAAATGTGTGTTCAAAATTATCTGCCAACGACAAATCCAGCTATTCATTATATCGGCTTCGGTGTATTTATTTGGGATGATCTCGGGTGCTCCGGCAGAGTCAACAGATCCAGCTCCTCATGTGGCACCCGTCGTAGAGTGTAGAAAAAATTTACGAAGTTAAGATATTGTTAAGCAATTCCAAAGGCAAAAAATAGGCAGTATTGTGGTTTTCCTAAATTCTCCTCGTTCTTGAACGACGTAAGTGTACAAGAATTATTGCTTTAAATATGTTAAACACCAGGTTCTTTTGTAAGGACATCTGCATCCACCAGCAACCTCGAATGCGGAATATAATTTTCGAACTAACAACACTTTTGGTGGTTCATTCCAGTACTTTGGCGAGCAGGACCATATTTATATAGGGACAATAAACAAAATCAATCGGGAGGGTTTATTTTCATCCTTCAGGGTAACGATCATTTACACCCTGTTCTGATTAAAAATCTTGGATTCAATTGGTTAGACTAGGACAAGGCGGGTAAGGTTGTACCTTTGAAGTAATAAGATATTGTTTTCTATACAGACTTATGGTGGGAAATATTTCTAATATTAATAACATCCAAGCCCTTATTTATTCTACATTTTAAAATATAGTTACATATCTAGGAATCTAAGATAATGTTAAATAATTTGTTATATCAGCTGTGTAATTATGACATGATTAGTGCCACAATGCGGTTAAATGCAGGGAAAACAATGGCTATTGACAATTCAAGGATATAAAATAACACAATACTGATATCCATAACCAGTGTGTCAATGTCAAACTCGTAATATATGATGTTTTTACTTATTTACAAGTGATAAATTATCCATCAATGTGATCAACGTTTAGCATGGTTTATCAGCAAATACTTAAAAAATACAGACAATTTGCCAATGCCATAACATATCTACTAGGTGTTGATAACATGTAGACATAGATGCTGTGTCAGTATGGCATAATCAAGGACGCTATTTTAATACCAACTGATTTGCCCCCCATGTCGTAGTGGCATAGCTGGAAATCGCCTCCTATCAAAACTGTCAGATAATTCTTTCCTTGTTTCTTTCTTCAAATCCAATCTGCAATTGAATAGACAAACACTATGATAACTACTGTATAATGGGTTGAACATCAAGGAACCCGCGTTTGCTTTTATTTTTTTTGTTATGTGTGAGTGTGTTTAATTCTTAGGGAAAAGGGCATTTGATTTATGAAAACTTGAAACGAAACAAAATTTAAAATAAAATCAGTAAAGACCCATTAAAACACCATCTGATACAAAAATTTAATAATACCCCCCCCCCCCCCTTTTATTCGCATTTTGAACCTGTCCCAAGTCAGGAGTCTCTGGCCTTTGTTAGTATTGTATGTTTTTTATATTTTGGTTCATTTATATGTTTCGAAATTTAGTATGACGTCTATTTTCACAGAACTAGTACACATTTTTGTTTAGGGGCCAGCTGAAGCCCGCCTCAGAGTGCGGGATTTTCTCGCTGGGTTGAAGACCCATTGGTGGCCTTGGTCTATTGTCTGCTCTTTAGTCGGGTTGTTGTCTCTTTGACACATTCCCCGTTTCCATTCTCAATTTTGTTCCTATTCTAATTTGTTTATAGATACAAAAACAAGTATTTGATAAATTCAATAAAGGTAAGTTCCATCAAATAGACCTTGGTATCGACAAGGGAATACGTTTGCTTGTGACAAAAAAATCTATGGATACACATAAACTGTGTTTACATGTATCAACATGTAAGCTACTTTTATTTCACTGAACAACCAAATTGACGGAAATATATATGGTCAGATGGCACAGTAACTTGACACAGAATACATTTTGTTATAGTGAAAAGTATTAACCAAAAAGGCATTTATAGTTAAATGATCTTTGAAATAAAAAAGCCAATGTTGATTCAAAATATAAACAACCAACAGTACTAGTACTGTCTCCGTCAGTCTTGTTTTTCTAGTATAATATTCGTCATCATATATTCATCATATTCATTCAAATATAAACCTCCTGATTGCTAGTTCCCCATTCATGTACAATCCAGCCGGCCATGTTATTACTGATGACGTAAACATTGTCAATAACGCTTCTCTGCGAAATGAGTTATCCAAAGGCCCGAAATGTCGTGAGCATAAATCAATCAATTTGAAACACAACTTCACAATACGGATAGATTCAATTGTCAGGCAATCGGTTAAACGCAAGAAAGAAGACGTAGATACTCTTTCCGAATGGATTAAGACTGTGAGGTCGTTGATACAAATCAGAGTTAAAAAAAAAACTGAATGGGTCTGTGAATACCCATGCTACATCAGTCTTGAAAGATCCCAATGTTGCAAAACACATGTCCTTACTCCATGATAAATGTGTTGTTGTCCCCGCAGATAAAGCCCAAAACAACATCGTTTTTATGTGTAAATCACATAACCTGTTTGATAAATGAATTAGGTTTTGACAATTCACATGGAAAGTCAACAGATACCCCCACGACACTTATCAAGGAGGAAATCCTGAATATTATAGGTCTGTTATATGTTCCTTCAGAATTTCAACCAAAGATGAAGAACTGGATCTTCCATCACTTTATTGGATGCCCAAACTAAAAACGTGTCCTTTCAAACAACGTTATATTGCTGGGTGTTCAAAGTGCTCAACGAAACTTCTTTCTACAATTATTAACATCAATTTTATCAGCAATTAAAGCCGGGCTTCAAAGTTATTGTGAAACTACCTATTCTAGAGGTGGTGTGAATAAGATGTGGATACTAAAAAATTCTTTAAGAGTACATACAATATTAGTCTCTTTCATCTTGCAAATGTATTGAAACATTTGACTTTTCTACATTTTACACAAGTATTCCCCATTCAAAACTAAAAGACAAATTGAAAGGGTTAGTCCTGTTTTGTTCCATAAAAAAATGACCAAAAGATACAAGTTTCTTGTCTTAGGGAGGGATGAATCGTACTTTGTAAAAAACTCACTCAACGGAAGAATTCTCGGAAACACACATTATCAAGATGCTTGATTTTGATTTTTTGAATGACAACATATTTGTTACGTTTGGAGGACATATTTTTCAACAAACAATCGCATTCTCATGGGCACCAGATGTGCTCTTCTTCTTGCCGAATTGTTCCTTTATTCATATGAGGCTGACTATATATCGGAACTTCTTAGGAAGAAAGAAAAGAAGTTTGCAGTATCGTTTAACTTTACTACCGCTATAAATATATATTTCTCTCACTAAATAACTCAAAATGTGGTGAATATGTTGAACGCATCTTTCCCATCGAACGTGAGATAAAAGATACAACATATAAAGTTATGTCTGCTTGATATCTTGACTTACATCTAAAAATTGACGATGAGGGCTGGTTGAAACAAAACTTCACGATAAAAGAGATGATTTCAGCTTCCCATTTGTGAACTGTAAATTTTTAAGTAGCAACATTCCATCAGCGCCTGCATACGAAGTATATATCTTGCAATAGATACGATATTCCAGGGCTTGAATTTTCTATCATGATTTCCCTGATAGAGGGTTGCTGTCACGCAGAAGCTATTAAACCAAGAGTTTCTAATGGTGAAGTTAAGGTCATCTTTTCGTAACTTTTACGGACTCCATCACGAGTTGGTTGACTGTTATGGAATATCCGTTTAACAGACGATAGTGGATATGTTTCAATTGTCGTAACTACAACCCTGCACCCCTTTTTCTGAACTTGACGTACTAACATGAGCAACACGACAGGTTCTTTATATGGAGCAGGATCCTTCTTCCGGAGCACCTTAGACCGCCCCAAGTTTTTGGTGGGGGTCGTGTTGCCCAGTCTTTAGTTTTCTATGTTGTGCTTTGTGTACTGCCTGTTGTTTTTTTTTCTTTTTTAGCCATGGCGTTGTCATTTTATTTTTCACTTCTGACTTTGAAAGTCCCGTATGTATCTTTCGCCTCTCTTTTATAAGTCCCTTAAAATAGACAACAGCAAAGTTAAAATTAAAAACGATTTAATTACAAACAAAAATTAAAGTGAACAGAAAACTAAGGCTTGAACAACACAAACCTTATAAAAACCCATATTAAAATCAGATGATCTTGAAGGATATGCAGTTTTTGTTCTACATGTTTCGCACGTCGTGTTGCGTAAGTAAGTGAAAATACTGTGATATAATTTGCAATCGGTAATGTTGAACTCGCGGAAAAATAGGACAGGATTCTAGTTACGACAAGTGAAAAATGTATCCCATAATGGTCAACCAAATTGTAATTTCGTCAAAAAATCTTTCACCGTTTTAACACCACTAGAAACACTTACCCTCTATTTAGTAAATCTTGACAGTTTACACGTGTGTATTTAATAATTTTGGTTTGATAGAACAGTTTATGTTCATTGATGATAGTTAAGTTGTTTATAGGTACCTTTTTAAGATCAGACAGGTAGCAAAAACTGCTCCAACGAGAGACATAATTGCAATAAAAGCTCCAACACTTCCGACTATTATTGGATAATTAGTATTGTAAACTGTAAAACAGAGTATGATCATTAATAAAAAATGCTTCTGAAATATCAATAATGTACATGGTGTGATTCAAGGACAATGTTTGTGTATAATTTTCACTTAATATCTTATCCTCGGAATATGGATTAAAATAACTTACTTTTGTTTCATTAAATATGTGGTTCAAATAAAATTTGATAACCTAACATCAACTTCGACCGCTGGTCAATGAATATCAGTTTTTCAAACTAAGAAAAAATGCGTATTCACCTCACCAAAGGTAGCATTATATTTATTATTTCAATTTGAATTTATCTTGCAAACCAGAACGATTTGAATGTGTTAAGCTTCTTTTGCCAATAGTATTAGACAATTGTCTGTCACTTATTTTGCGACATTGGTATCAACATGTCTAAGACTGCACATATAGGTATCTAGTGAGTTAATACAAACATTAATCGTGTCGTAAGTAAGTGACATCATTTCGTGTCGATTTCAGTCATTCTTCCTCCCTCATCACACAGTTGAAGCAGTATTTGTATTTGAAGAATACCCCTGCTATTGAAGTCCGTAAAGCATGAACATACACGAGCATAGCGTATCAGTTGAGATATGCCAACGCCACACGAGGGAACAGACGGTTTGGAACTGTTGACAAATGGAAATTTAACAATTAGAAAGTTGACATAATCACGTTTGTCCTACATTCTAGTTTGAAATTGTCCATTTGTGTCAGTATCGATGAACAGATGAAGATGTAAACGATCACTGGTTTTGACGTCTGTTTTAACCGTTTTCACACCACTTTATTCTTAGCCTTGTCTATAAAGTTCTGTTTTCAGAATGATCGCTACTCTGCTTTTGGTGTTTCATTTTAGTCACCATTTCTTAAACTTATACATCAAATGCACTTCTTACTTTTTTAAAACGCTTATAATATCTAAGTTGTCGTAAAGTTATAGATAAGAGGCAATATTAGCTTACCGATGGTCAAATCTCACAAAATGGTCAGGGGGATACAAATCAAGGTAAAGATACACAACGTACGAGAAAACCGCATGAAATTTATGCGTCTACATGATAACCGTATGATTTTTTTTGTCAGTAGGCACAACACACAACCTTCCTTATGGATGTGCTCAAGACCAAATGTTATAAAGCGAAACTGAACTAAAATACACAAAACAAACATATAATAGATTGCGGGTGCAATGGTGTCATCAATGATTGAAGTTGCACATGTAAGCGAATCTCTTTACGCGCGATAGTGAAAAGAGAAACGTCATATCGTTTTAAGAAACATCGATAATACAAATACTAAGGCGACAACTGGGATACTATTTCACAATACAGTTCGACTATTTTAAACAGTTGCGTGTTTTCTTATAATAATATATAAAAAATTGTGAATTAAAAAGATACGATATATAGTTCAATGAGGCAGAAACCCAAAGACCCACAGAAACCAAACAAATATCAAAAGGTAAACATATGGTCAATATCAATAGACAAGTTAGAATATGTAGAGATAATCAAGCTTTAAATCAACCAAGGCTTACGAAAAAATGCGACTATTTTGAAGATGGGTATCAAAGATCTTGGATAAACACACATTTTAATAAAAAAAAAAGGGAAAACATAAATATAACGTAGACAATCATTGGGGAGTTTCCGGATGGTAGAGGCACTCGAACAGATAAACTTATTTTTAGCACCAATGAATTCTTAATCAGGTAAATAACTAAGATGCATAGAATGTTACAAATCAGTTAAAAAAATCCATTTGGGAATAATGCACACCAGTTGATACGTCAAACAAAACTAAATAACAGTGTACAAATGCATTTTCAAAGTTGCTGTATTCATGTTTAAATCACTTGACTTTCTAATAAAGAAATCATACCGCAATACACTCTAATATCGACGGCAGTATTTCAAAGGAAATGTTACACAGAATGATCAAGAGTGGTACAGGAAGAAATTGTGTCCTGCTATTCAAAGGCCAGTATACTAAGAACCTTAATCTTTTTTGAAGAAGGGATAGATTTGAAGGATTTCACTTCATTATGTACAAAAAACAAAAAAAACAAAAACAAAAACAAAAACAAAACAAAACAAAACCCATCTATTTAGTGCGAGCGTAATAAAATCTTGTATAGGATTTTACCAATTCATCAATGTCTGCATAATGCAAACAAACCGATAAAGACAGAAATATATAATTATATACCATAAATATAAACAAAATGAGATGTGGTGTGAATGCGGAAGAGACAATTACCCACATAACACCACAAGGACAAGATTGTAAACAACTTCAGGTAAACACGTGTTTAAAAAAAGAAATAAAAAAAAAAAACCGTATAGTAAGCTATATAAGATACCGGGTTAATGAAATGTAATACCTTTAAAAACAGACCACTCTTGGTTTTCGTGGGTTTCGTGTTTGTAAGTCTTTAGTAATTTATGAAGTGTTTTGTAGAATGCTTTTTGTATTTTCGTCGTTTTTCGTTTTGCCATAATTTAGTCAGGCTCTCTTTGGGTGTTGTATCTCCTTCAGTATACTCCGTCTCTCCATTTATTACGTTGCAATGCACTGACGTTTAAAAATTACAATGTTTTTTTGGGGGTTTGCTCTCTTCATCATTTGGCTTTTAAGTTTTAGATTTGCGATTCATTCCTCGATTTTTACTATTTTGGGGAGACCTGTTTTCAGTGATCCGTTTATAAATATCATATGTTTATCATCTTGTATTTATTTCATATTTCGGACTGACAGAATCTATAGATTTACTAATATCGGGCGTACGACTGCTGGAGAACTCTAAGTCCCTTAGGGTATCATCAAAATAATGCCTCATGCAAATTGTTGCCACAACTAAACCTATTCTATATGGTTAAGATAAAATTGATATACTTACGAGTAGCTATTGTGTCAGTTGTGTTCTCTTTTGTTGATGCTACTGGTGTGCTCTTTTTCGTTGATACCACTATATTGATATCTTTCGTTGATTCCACTGTTGTGCTCTCTTTCTTTGATTCAACGGTGGTGCTCTCTTTCGTTGATGCGACTGTCGTGCTTTCTCTCGTTGGTACCACTGTCGTGATCTCTTTTGTTGATGTCACTGTTATGCTCTCTTTTGTTGATGCCACTGTCATGATCTCTTTTGTCGATACAAACGTTGTGCTTTCTGCTGTTTGTACCGCTGTTGTACCTTCTGTTGTTAACTCTCCTGTTATGATTTCAGTTGTTAACATATATGTGGTGTTTTCTGCTGTTTGTACCGCTGGTGTACCTTCTGTTGTTAACTCACTTGTTATGATTTCTGTTGTTAGTTTGTCTGTTGTGCTTTCTGATTCTCCTCCATTTGTTATCTTTGTGGATTGTGGCATTGTAGATTCCGTTGAGTCTAGAAATTTCATTATACAAATTACTTAATCAAAAGTAATCCTATCTTAAGAAAAGAGACTCTCTTACGAAATAGTTTAGTACATTATCTTATTTTTGGGTTACAACATTAGAAGATTATCTTATCACAGTATTATTAGGTTGACAAAAATAATTCCGCTTAGACCTATGATAATGCCCTTGAAGTGAGATGTAAGCTTGTGCACCATCTTGAAAGTTTAGGTGAAGTACAACAATAAAATATCTCAGCATGGCAAGAACATGAAATTAAAAGCAAAATTATGTTAACGCGTACAATAGATCATAGAAATGGTTACTAAAACTTGCTTATTGTCCCCCTAAAGTGAATGCAGACTGTTACAAAAACGATCTACTATTAATAGATTGTTGATTGATTCCATTCAGTGGCAAATAATACAGAACAAATGAGCAATCAACATGTTTGGCATGGTTCTGCAAAGAAGGGCGAACGGGATGGAGTGTGGTACATTTGAACTGCAACTGGAAAATGTATGTGTGTAGGAAAGGGTAAAATATAACAGGCTTACTTCTCATATGGTTGCTACAAGGTTCACTACCATGCAGAGCGCGTAGTAATCACCCTACATTGTCCGTCAGATATGATGTCTCAACTCAGATCGGATGTGGCAGTGTAATAATGCATTTCCAAATAACGCAAGAATTTTACTAGAGGACAGGAGAAGTCAAGGGATGACCATATTTATATATCACAGTGAAATTGCAATCAATCATCTCATCAAAGACCTTGTTAATTAAATTTTGAATTGCTGTCAAATCTCATTGATTTTTTATTGATAAAAACAAATATAAAATACTAAATAGATACACTTTTGCAGATTAAAAAGGGTGAGTATATAATTTTTTTCTATAATAATTTTTCAATAACTTCTGTAAAGTAAGTGGACAAATAAAATAGCAAAATCTACAAGAATTATACATAAATTACATTTTCAATTACTAGTATGTTATTTATTAAATTGACGCAATTCACGATAACAACCTAACCTGTTTCGTGTTTATGTGATTGATCAATCGGAAAATTTTTGAATATGTTCATATGCCTGTTAACCCAAAATTAAATATATAACACGAAAAACAATTTTTAAAACGATGAAAATTTTTTACGTTTCTATAGAATTAAAGTTTTTACTAGCCATTACACAAACAATTATTACTGTATGCTTATATATATTTTATAAATCCACGGTTGAAATTAATCCAAAACTCAATCAAACGTTTGAAACACCATGTATAAAGAAATAACAGCCCTATACCTCAATGCTCTCAAATTTCCTTTTCGAGATATGATTTAGAATTCTTGCTCCAAATTGTCTATAAATTTTCATGATTACACATGTGCATATTTGTCTTGTACCTTCTTAATAAAATAGAATAATGTTCAATAAGGTGCAGATATTGAAAATAAAATCATTTTGTTATGAATTTTACATTGCTTCTTCATTGTTTATCTTTAATTGGATAATATTACCTGAACAGTCGGTGAAGTTAATATCATATACAAAGGTTGCTGTGCCATTACATGTCGCAGATGCACCCAACAAGTGTGTATTGTTGAGTAAATATAGCTTGAGATACTCCAAATCACAGTCACAGCAATCCAGTGGGTTGTTGGCTAATTTTCTGTTGAGGCAAACATAAAAATTAAATCTTATTTGATTCGTCGGAGCATGCAATTTGGATACAAATTGTAAGTAAACTACTTTTTTTTAAATTATATAAAAGAATATGTTTCAGTATACTTACTGATCATTAATAATCTGTTAAGATTGATAAACTGGATGAAAGCGAGTTGTAAATATTTCTTCTTTAGAGGCATTTTTGATCAGATTTCAATTATAAAAAAATTAAAGATCTTGTGGATATAATCGATCTTCTTCAGTTAGTGAAATTGAATAACATTTTTTTACTTCTTTTTACCTTAAGCAATTATTACAAAATTCTTAATTAATAACAAATAAAAGTTGTCTACAATCGTTTCCCCAAAAAAATATGAATGTTTTTGAGAACTTACAAATTTGCTGAGTACAACTTTCCTACTACATGTTTTTTTTTTATAAAGGCAACGCGGATGTCATTAGTGCAGCTGAAAATGCCAAGCATGTTTTAGATAAAAAATTCATCCTGTTTTTTGGGGTGCTCATTTTCTTCAATCTGTAGTTTTTTATATAGTGTTTAATGAGATTTTGTCGTCACTTCTATTTACTTAATTCCATAAATGGAGTTGTGCGACGTTGTTTGGACTTTGCGAGTCAGACATCAACACAGGGATGGGCAAACTCATAGGTCGAAAGCAAAGTTACAATGTCATAGCAAAAAAATTTTTTGTTGAAAAAGACTTTCGTTGAACGTAACAGATATGTTGTCAATCAAGTAACCAAACATCTTCACTTTGGCCATTCTTTTTTATGAAACAAAGGAGGACCAATTCATTTAACTTGTCTTTTAGTTTTGGACCTGGAATATATTTGTAATGGGAAGAGTATTTAAATATTTAAATATTATTGCAAGGGGATTGAGATTCAGATTATATCGGTTCTTATACATTATTGGCTTTCAAATATTCGGTTTTGAGCGTTTTGATGAAGGTAAACACAGAAAAACGATTCGTACGCATGCATTTTATTAAGTGTTGTTTTTATTGTTAACGGTATATGTAACAGATCATTGGATTTTCTAATATCCACATCTGATTCACACCGCACCTACAGCAAGTAATTTTACAATAACTTCTGTTAAAATGAATGTTAAAAATCTTGAAAAAGATGTTTTTTTGCAATTTGAAGTAATATAACTATGTTGTATAAGACAAATATACAATCAGGTATCAAATATAATGCAACTGACAACTATGAAATTTTGTTAAGCAATTCGTCCAGACCAAATTAAAACCAGAAGCTTTGTAACAAATGGATATTAACGTAAATGTGTAAAATTGAACTGGAATCTTAGAATGTGACAAACGATGATTTATGTAAGGTTCGATATTCTTTATTAGTCAGAACAGACACGGATATATCGATTATTTTATAGGATATGATTGTAATTATGCAATCTGTATAATGTTCAATTGTTTTTACATTTAGTCGGTTGTATTCATGTGTCAGGTGACCTTTTATGAAAAAAAGGTCGGTCGAGCACCAACAATTCGATTCTACAATAAATCTACTGCAATAAAAAGCAAATGGAAAAAAATCCTGGACAGGTTCTTTTTTTTCCTGACTCGGACTCTTTATGATTTAATCTAAAGCATGCAATACTGACGCCAATAATAGTCGATTGGTATGCATTTGTTACCTTTACCCTGGCAACCATTCAGATTTAATCATCTATAAATTTGAACTATTAATTCTAAATTGTTTAATGTACTTTTATCTCTGTTAACAGATACCAATGATTTCTTTGTTAAACTGGTTCATCATAATGGTATGAACAAAAATCGAAATGTCTTTGTTCTGTGATGTGAAACATTTATCTAAATTAGAATGGACTTGAGGACTAAAAAATCACTTAAGAGATATAATCCTTCGGGTAACATAATTAATGTTAGATGTGATGTTTATGGTAGCAGCAACACAACACACACAAAAAAATCTCACGTGCTTCTACATCAAATATTGCAACTAGTATACATACAGGGTGTCAAGAGCTGGTAGGTTTTGAAATGTTCCTTCCTGTATTGTAGTTATTTGATTACTGCTCAAATCTCTGAAACAAAACAAAGTAATGTTAATTGTATTCTACACCAAAGAAATGGTTCATTATAATGCAATCGATTTGTATAAATGGTTCTGATTGGATAACAGCAAGCGTACAATTCTTTATCTACCTGTCTGTAGGTAAGAGAAAATGATATTTTGATTTTCTGTTCTGTATTGACATTTTATTTCTTCAATATTAACCTTAGGAAAAAAAACCATTTTACTTCAAAAGATATCCTTTGATCTAATTTTATTACATTTCGAGACATTCAAGAAGCCCTGAGTTTATGACTTTTCAACAGCGGTATACTACTGTTGCCTTTATTTACATTGGACGCCAGAAGCATACATGTGACGTCACCTTGTTCAGTTGCCAAAGACGATAACATTATTTTGCGGAATTTTTGTTTTATGAAATTATATACCGAATTAATGACTGAAACGGAACGACATTATACTGGACATAACAGTATTATATTTGAAGCTTGGCCTACATAAAACTTTGTTTTACTGTCGCAAATATATGTTTAGTACCAGTTCCGCTACGCGTCGCTAGATAAACTCATTTGCGACAGTAAAATCCGCGTTTTACGTAGGCCAAACTTCAAATAGAATGCAGTTCTGTCTTAATTATTATTGAAAGATAAAGATTTGTCAAAATTGATAAATATCATATAAGAATATTGGTGTGACCATTACACCAGTCAATAAACAGCATTACCGTTAGGCATTAGTAGAAACCAATATTAAAAAAAGTCAACATAAAAAAACGGCAAAAAGTATAATAGTCGATTGGTATGCACTTGTTATCATAAATAAAGGCAACAGTAGTTTACCGGTGTTCAAAAGTCATAAGTCAATTTAAAGAAAACAAATCCGGGTTACAAACCAAAATCGAGGGGAAAAAAAAAATATAAGAGGAAAACAAAGGAACCACAGGAACACCGAAATGCAACAAAAACAAACGCCAACAAACATAGAAACAAACTCTTTGATAAGAACTGCCATATTCCTGACTTGGTACAGGACATTTTAAGATCTGAGAGTACTCGCAATTACTGACAGCTAGTTAAAAACCAATAACAACTAATAAAAAAAAAATCATGCATCTAAGACTAGGTAAGTTTTTTTTCTACCACTTGGTCGATGACACTTCTGATGAAGGTTTCCCTCCTATTGTATCATCAGCTTAGTACCCAGCAGTTCTGTGTTGACATGCACTATTGTTGATATGGTCATAATTATAAATTGACTGTTTACAAAACCTTTAATTTTTTTGAAAAACTAATTATTTTCTACATAAGTAATACATGTATATTACCTTAGCTTTATTTGCATCCCTTTCGGAAAATCTGGTCGTCAGTGTACTTCAACTTCGTACATTATTAGGCCCTTTTAAACATTTTTAATTCGAGTGTCAAACGTGTTTCATTTAGACAAAACGCGCGTCTGGCGTACAAAACCCGTGTCTGTGATATGTTTATATGCTATGACATGTTTTGTTTTTGGTATGGTTTTGTGGTTTTGTCGACGATGTATGCATGCTATGGAAAATCTCAAATTTAGTAGCATGTGTCTTATTTTTGTTCCTATGGTTTGAAATTCGAAATTTGGTTTGGCATTCTCACTTATTAATACATGTTACATAGCTTAACCAACTGGGGAAACAGTCGTTACGGTTGAGGACGGCAGAACTCCATGTATCGTTATCATTGATAATAGTAAATTAAGTCTGACACTACTTTTTTTAGATTCAGTTTTCATTTTCCTCTTGATGAAATATTGTCAAAATGTATACATACAGTTCGAATAGCGCTGGTAAGTCTTGAAATACTCCTAGCTCTATTGTAGTTATTTGATTGCTAAATAAATACCTGAAACAAAACAATGTTGATGTTTCATATATTTTACACTATGGAAATGTGAATAATTATCTAGTTAAACATGTTAAATATGAGCAACAGTAGTTAACAGATGATCAAACAAACTACATTGACAGATTGTTTTTCTATTCTAATTTGACGTGCATCTTTCGCTTTGTTGGGTACTATAAAGTCATCATAGATTTCAATTATGTGTGCTAGACGCGTTTTCTGTAAACAAAAGACTCATCGGTAAAGCTCGAAAATACAAAAAAGTGATAAAGGTCAATATATTATTATTGAAAAGGCAACAAACGTAAAATTTGCAACGACACCACGGTATTAAGTATCGTATGGCAAATGCATTTTCTATCCTTCTCAATTAATAATTATAACCTAGGTATCTCCTATTCATTGTCTACCTTGCATTTCAACACTCGTCTACTTATTAAAAACTAATGGAATGCAATCAAAAATACTGAATTATGAAGAAAATACTGAACTATGAAGAAAATTCAAAACGGAAATTCCTTTATCAAATGGCAAAATCAAAAGCTAAAACACATGAAACAACTGTCATGAACCTGACTTGGTACAGGCATTTTCTTATGTAGAAAATGGTAAATTAAACCTCGTTTTACAGTTATCTACATCTCTCAATTGTATGACAGTCGCATAAAATTCCATTATATTGACAACAAGATATGAACTTAATAAACGGACATAATAGGCAAAAATGTCAAAAAAAAGGGGTAAATGAGCGCTTAAAATACCAAACCTTATTTAACAATTAAAAGAGCAATAGCGTTTAACCATGATTTCATTCCGCTAGATAAGCATAACGACAATTAATGTATTTACAGTCATTTTCTAGAACAAAATATGTAAAAATATTTAAAACCTAATTTTAACGTTGCCAAGCTTATATAACCTAAAGTATCTCCCCAAACCGGACATGGAATAGTAGCTCTGCATGAGTTAGATGACATGTATTTTTGTAAGGTTCACTTTGCTCAGACTTAAGTTTTTCTAACCTGATATAAATGATGCGTTAATCTATTAACACTTGGTCGATGACACTACTGATGGAGGATTCCTTCCTGGGGGTATATTAAGCATAGTGGTCAGCAATTCTGTGCTGACATGCACTATTATTGCTATGGTCATAACTATAAGTTAACTGTTTACAAAACTGTTAGTTTTTTCGACAAACTACGGATTTTCTACCAAAGGAATAGATTGCCTCAGCTATATCTGTCATCCTTTTCGAAAGTTTTGGTCTTCATAATTCTTCAACTTCGTTCTTTATTTTGGCCTTTTTAATAGCCATAAAACCAGGTTTTACCCACCATTTTTGTCTTAAAATTTCCTGTACCAAGTCAGAAATATGGCGGTTGTTATCAAATATTTCGTTTCTATGTATGTTGGCGTTTGGTTTTTTTGCACTTCAGTGTTTCTGTCGTTCCTCTGTTTTCCACTTATAGCTGATGTGTTTCCTCGGTTTAAGTTTGAAACCCGGATTTGTTTTCTCTCAATCCATTTATGACTTTTGAACAGCGGTATACTACTGTTGCCTTTATTTGTTTTGAGTATCACAAATGTGTTTTTAGAACGGAACGCGCATCTGGCGTACACATTTTTAATCCCGGTGAATGTGATGTAATTATTTACTATGTCATGAATACAAATCGTGTACAAATCCCTATCAATGCATGATTATAACTTTCGTTTCCCATATTCTTTATCATTGTAACATTCGTCTTCTTAAAAACTCCATATAACGTCAACATTGATAGTAAATCTAGTCTGAAGATGATTAAGTTTACGTATATATTTAAATTTTTTCATGATAAAATATAAAAACAATGTATACATACAGACGGTCAAGAGCTGGTAGGCCTTGAAACATTCCTTGTTGTAGTATAGATATTTGATTGTTGTACAATAATCCGGAAAAAATAACGGTATTCTTTCATACATGAGCGGTGTCGGATAGAAATTGACATTAAGCAAGTGCACGTATAAATGTTCATGTTTGATCGTTTTTGGAACATCCAAATATGAAATACAAGATGAATTGTGATGTGTTTTGTTTCTTATATTAAATCAATACAAAACAGTTACAGACTTTGCATAGATATTTGTTCAACCCGAAATTAGTTCACAAAGGTATTTATATTCAATTGCATAATGTCGATTTCTATCCAATGCATTCATAATTAACTCTAACATAATTGTTCATTTGTTTTTGATAGATGAAAATTTGATAAATATAGTTTATTGATATTGATATGACAATAACGCCAGTCAGTTAACAATTTTAAATATAGGCAACAACAGTTTACAGATGTTTAAACAGATGTTGAAAAGCAACAAACGTAAAATTGGCCACGACAACACATTATTTGGTAATACATCGCAAATGCTTTTTTTTTTCCTTATCAATAAATAATTATTACTTCGGAATTCCCTATGTTGTGACTAACTAGTGTTGCAACACTCTTTTACTTATTTAAAACTAATAGAATGCAATCAAATTAGCGCTATTAATACCAAACTCGTAATAAACAATTAACAGAGCAATAGCATTAAATAATGATTTGACTTCGCCAAATAAGCCCTATTGCAATTAATTTATTTACATTCATTTTCAAGAACAAAATATGTTAAAATAATTAACACCCAATTTAAATGTTGCCAAGCTGATATAACCAAAAGTATATCTCAAAACTGGACACTGATTAAGAGCTCTGCATGAGGTAGATAATCAAAATATTTTTCTATGGTTCATTTTGCTCAGACTTAATATTTAAAAAGGAGATGTAGTATGTTTGCCAATGAGACAACTCTTCACAAGAGACCAAATGACACAGATATTAATAACTATAGGTCATCGTACGGCCTTCAACAATGAGCAAATCCCATACCGCATAGTCAGCTATAAAAGGCCTTGGATTGACAAATGTAAAACAATTCAAACGAAAAAACTAATGGCCTAATTTATGTACAAAATAATGAACGAAAAAACAAATATGTTATACAGCAACAAACGACAACCACCGAATTACAGGCTCCTGACTTGGGACAGGCACATACAGAATGTGGCGGGGTTAAACATGTTAGCGGGCGCCCAACCCTCCTTCTAACCCGGGACGGTGGTGTAACAGTACAACATAAGAACAAACCATTAAAATCAGTTGAAAAAGGCGTAAAAACATAAACAGCAGTAGTTGTCCTTTTCTGGATTTGGACATTTCAATCTCTAAAGGAAAACTTGAAAATTTACGACAAAAGAGACGATTTTTCATTCCCTATTGTTAATTTTCCTTTTTCAGATGGCGATGTTCCTTTGGCTCCATCACACGGTGTTTATATATCCCAACTCGTTCGTTATGCCCGTGTGTGTAGTGGTGTCATAGATTTTAACGAACGTAATCAATGCATCACTGGTAAATTATCAAGTCAGGGATTTCGTTACCATAAATTACGTAAAATTTTTGCTAAGTTTTTTCATAGATACAAAGATTTGATTAGTAAATTTGGCTGTACTTGTAGAAAACTGATTAAAACGGTATTTCACATCCTAAATTTTACGGTAATATTATACTTAAAGCGCGGAAATCACTATGTGATCCGTGTAAACTCATCGAACCTTTAAACAAACTTATTAGTAAAGATTATCTTACCAATGTTGTAATTAGATCTTTGAATATAGTTTACATTGGCACTAATATCGATTTTGTCATCAGCAAATTAAAACATAACTAAACTGTATTCTTTTCAAACGGGATGTATAAAGACACACCCACGTTCGTTTTGATCTATAAAGAGGTTAAACTCCTAACTATCCTACTGTATGTCGATACATTTATTTTTGGCATTGCACTAGTCATGTCTTCTTTGACTGTCCATGACGTTAAAATACTAAATCCCTGGGATGTGTTTTAGTTGATGTTAGTCTCTGATGCATGATTTTTTATTATTAATTATTTTGGCTTTTAACTAGCTGTCAGTAACTGCGAGTACTCTCAAATCGTACTTTCTTGTTTATTTGACCTGTTGATACTAATTGTATTGCTTTTTAGTTATTTAATGTTATTCAGGGTTATATCTGGTCTATTTACCAGCTTTGATAAGTGTTTGGTATTACTATAAATTTTTCACTTCGTACTATGAACATCAAAATTATTTATTTTGTAAAAATATTTCCTTTCTCTATTGGAACTGTACACGTATACCTAACAACAGAATTATTTTCATTTACCTGTGTTTAAAGTTATTGCAAATGGCTGATACTTTTGTTCGAGCATATTGTTTTTCTTTAATTGTTTAACATTTCATACCGATATAATATGTTACTTTTATTATTCTTCCCTTAGTTTATTTATAATTTTGTATTTACATTGTATCATAGGTCAAATTTATTTGTTCAGTGTATGTTCAATGGTGTCAATATGTCCTTTGATTGAATTAAGCTATTTCGGTTGATATTTTATAGTGTGTCTTTCTATGTTGTGATGTTACACTATTGTTTCTGAAAAAAGGTGAAGGTTTGGTACCATTAAAACGTTTAAACCCGCTGCATTTGTTTGCACCTGTCCCAGGAATCTGATGTTCAGTAGTTGTCGTTTGTTGATGTGGTTCATAAGTGTTTCTCGTTTCTCGTTTTTTATATAGATTAGACCGTTGGTTTTCCCGTTTGAATGGTTTTACACTAGTAATTTTGGGGGCCCTTTATAGCTTACTGTTCGGTGTGAGCCAAGGCTCCGTGTTGAAGACCGTACTGTGACCTATAATGGTTTACTTTTATAAATTTTGACTCGGATGGAGAGTTGTCTCATTGGCACTCATACCACATCTTCTTATATCTATTAACACATCAGATGGATACAAATAGAAATACATCCAACAGAAACACAAAATAGACGTGGCCGGGTACTTGTACATTCCAATATAAAAAAGACACTAAGTACAGATCTGAGAGTACTCGCAATTACTGACAGCTAGTTCAA